CCAGGCCAGCCTGAGCAACTTAGTCAGACTCTGTCTTTTTTTTTTTTTTAAATATATTTATTTTTCAACTTTTGGTGGACTTTATTTTATGTGGTGCTGAGGATCGAACCCAGCGCCCTGCGCATGTCAGGCGAGCGCGCTACCACTTGAGCCACATCCCCAGCCCCTCAGACTCTTGTCTTAAAATAAAAATTTTCAAAGGGCTGGGGATGTAGCTCAGTGGTAGAGCACTCACCTAGCAAGATTGAAGCCCTGGGTTCAATCCCTCATATTGGAGAAAAACACTGAACAGGAGAAAAAAACAAGTTTGGCAGCTCTTCAAAAAGTTAAACATATAATTACCATATGATGCAGAGATTCCACTACTGGGGTGGAAAACTTGAGAACTGAAATACTGTTCACATAAAACTTTGTACACAAATGTGTATAACAGTATTACTCATATTAGCCCTAAATTGGAGGAACCATCCAAATGATCCTAAAGTGTTGAATAAGAAGCCAACTCTCTATATCCAGGGTCTGCATTCTTGGATTCAATCAACCATGGGTTGAAAATTATATACTTGGGGAGGGAAAAAAAAAAAAAAAAACACAAAAGACTGCATCTGTACTGAACATGTACAGACTATTTTTCTTGTCATCATTCCCTGAACAATACAACAACTGTTTATATCATATTTGGTAACAAGTAATTTAGAGATAAATTCTCTCTTAAAAAAAAGAGAGAGAATGAAGCATTAATACATAGTACATGTTGGTGAACCCTGAAAAAGTACTGTTGACTGATTAAGTAGCCAGTGCCAAGAATCACAGCTTCTGGGACAGGAGTCCTGTGTATCTCCTTAGCTAGAAAAGCAATAAACCTCCTTTTCCCTTTTTTCAAAACCATGTCCTTATTGGATTGGCACTGGAGACAAGGACCAAGCTTTCAGTAACGAATTTGGCATCCCAGGAACCCCAAAGAAGCCCCTGATCCAGCTTTCTTAGGCAGGCTTGGTTCTCCAAGGAACCGCATTTCCATGCTGAGTCGGCAAGGTGACTGACAAACTTGTTGAGAGCCAATTGCAGGAGAGTTAGGAGATGGGTGAGTTTGCCTAGGGTTGAACAAGGGGAGATACTCCTGTGAGTAAAGGGTCCGAAGGAAGGAGCTTCCCAACAGCTGCCTAAACTCCTTTTGCTTCATGGAACTCCTGCCTTCTCTCCCCAAACAATAAAGGTTGCTCCATCCTGGTCCACTCTGAGAAAAAGGAAACTGAACTCAGGAAAGTCGGACAACTCTGACCATTTTCATGATCCCTGACTGTGTACACCTTGTCCAGTCACCTGCCACTTGTGGACCTCTGGACTACTCTGATACTGAAACCCCTTAACTGTCCACACCCCACCTAATAAAGAACAAGGGCTTTGGGTTACTTCCCCCAATTTCACCCCCTTGCAGCAGGAAACAGTTTTGGAGATGTCATCACCCATCTTTCCATAGAAATGGAATGTAGAAATTGACAGTGGGGAAATGTAACAGTGTCTACTTTATGCTTTGAATATAGCTCTTGWTGCTCTGCCACTGTAACTTATKTTTTAAATGGACATGTTTCTTTCTTTCTCTCCCTGCTCCTCCCTAATTTCTGGGGAAACAGGATTACCTTTCTACCCCTTCTTAGGCAGAGTTATCTGTCCTTGAGTACAAACTCACCATAGGAACAAAGTAATGAGACTTTGGGGATGGTACCAAAAGACCTCAGAAATAAATATCTCCTAAATTATCAAGTGAATTACTACTGAAACAGAGAACATGAGGAATGTAGCCTTTGAATCACCTCTTTAAAAGCCTATTCCTGCTGATGGGCAGAATCCAGCTTCTGGGACAACAGTCCCAGTTTTTTTCCTTTGCTAGCAAAGCAATAAACCTTTTTTCTAAGTAATAAACCTTTTTTAATCTCAAAAAAAAAAAAAAAAGAAAGAAAGAAAAGAAAAAGAAATCAGTGCCATAAGACCACATGTTATATGATTCCTTCTATATGAAATGAAGTCTGTAGAAAAAGTAAGTAGATAAGTAGTTGCTTGGGAGAGGAGAAGAGAGAATGCAGTGACAGCTAAGGAGTAAGATTTATTGTAGGGATAAGGAAAATGTTCAAAATTAAACTGTGGTGATGGATGCACAACTCTGTGAATATACTAAAAAACTATTGAGTTCAACATTTTAAGTGGGTTAATTTTATGATATATAAATATTTCAGTAAAACTGTTTGGAAAAAAATACTATTTAAAGCTTGATATTACTGTAAGAATCCACCAAAGTGTGTGTGTGTGAGGGGGGACAAGTTTCTAAGACCCAAGAAGGGAGACATCCTAGATATCTTACCAATTTTGATCTCCACTCCTCATGACTGAAGATGCTAAACACAGCTTCTCCCGGATGGACCATGGCTCTGTGGGGCCAGTACTCAGCAGCTTGTGTTCTGAAAAGTAACAAGGCTTAGAGACAACCTCTGAGGAGTTGTAAGCACCAAATCAACAACTAAAAGCCTAATACAAAATATACCAATTGTTGGAACAAAACAAGCTACTATCACCAACTTTCTTTTAAATTAGGACTGATTCTTGAACCCAGATCTTTACCACTAAGCTACACAAACACACACCCTTTTTGAGACAGGGYCTAAGTTGCTTAGGGCTTGGCTAATTTGCTGAGGCTGGCCTCAAATTTGCAATCCTCTTGTCTCAGACTCCTGAGCTGCAAAGGTAACAGGTTTGCACCACCGCAACTTTTTTTTGGTGCCAAGGATTGAATCCATGGGTGCCTAACCACTAAACCACATCCCCAGCCCCTTTTGTTTTTTATTTTGAAACAGGGTCTCGCTAAATTGCTTAGGTTGGTTTTGAACTTGTGATTCTCCTGCCTCAGCCTGCGGAACCGCTAGGATTACAGGCATGAGGCACCAAGCCCAGCACTCTTAAGCAATCACCAACACTTGATTTTCACCACTACAATTAACTACATTGACCTTATCTATTATTTGCATGTGAATTATAGTAGAACATTTTATTTCCTCAGATGCCACGACTTTAAGCTCGGCTTTATTTTTTAAAAATTGGGAAAGTCAGATTAATATGAAGTAATTCTTTAGAAAGTTCAGTTTGAAGAATACTTTATTCCAGCTGGGTGCAGGGGTGGTTTCCTGTAATGCCAGCTACTAGGTAGGCTGAGGCAGGAGGATTGCAATTTCGAGGCCAGCCCGAAAAAAAAAAAGGTGGGGGGGGGGGGAATGGGGGGGATAGGGATGTACTTCAGTGGTAAGATGCCACTGAGGGGTTCAATCCCAAAGCGACGCGGAGGGGCTAATAAATTTTTTTTTTTTTAAAAAAAACCTTTATTCCAATTTGAACGCGAGCTTATTTCCCAAGATTCCTAGCGCCCGCCCTTCCTACTGCCCCGCCTCCCTCTTAGCATAAACTTGTTTACTTCTTTCAGCCCCTCCCCCAACCGACGGACCTAAAAACATTCTCTATGAAACGGATAAAAATGATTGAAATTCACGAAACGCAATTTCCCAGTGACAGAAAAAGCTCGTGATTTAAAGTGTTCACACTTCGAATGCCTCACATTGTTCAGAAAATGAATGACTCTGAGCTGCCGGCCACACCATATGGCTCACATCTCTTCGTTTTAACGCCCAAGTTTCTAGAGTGCCTTTCTCTCCCACCCCGCAGAACTCTTGATACAAAGACTCGCTGAGCTGCTTCTCTCAAACCTCCCTCCTTCCCAGAGACGCAACAGCTTATATTTATGTCTCAAACCCCAAACGCCGGCCCTCACGAAGCCGTTGAACACTTTARGATCTCAGTTATCCCACTCCTCTCACTTCCTTAGCGTGTGCCAAAAATGCTGTGCCTTGCTTCGCTGCACAAAAGCTTTCCACGCAGATACTCACTGCCCGATCCTGTCGCCATCTTGGCCCCGAAGTCTCCAACGCCTGCGAGCTAGAGTCAGGTAGGACCCAACACCGGGAACTCTGGGAAATAGAGCACGGGTGTTGGTTCGCAGTGCCTCMTGGGAAATGTAGGTTTTTCATCCAAGTCGAAGCAAGAGCCTTAAACCAGTTATCTTGCGCTTTCCTGGAAAGCACTGATGCCAAAGTAGGGCAGAGATGGTAACCGAAGCCTCAGGATTTCCTTTAGGCTTTTTATAAAAGAAATGTCTGAGTTCAAGGAAAAGAATTAAAGGGAAGTAATCCCAGGAGAAACAACTCCAAAAGCACGACAGTTGGTAACCCGGATCCACATTACAGGTGAGAGGTCAAGCTGAATCAAACGGTCTCCCGGGTCTTCCCCGCCCCTTTCCTTACGCTGATTGGTAACTACAGGCTTCGTTTCTGATTGGCCGAACGAACTCAGTGCATAATTTAAAACATTGTATTAGGAACAAAGCTGCACCTCGTGGGCGGAGTTGAGCTCTCCGGTAGCGAAAGTCCAGGTTCTGCTGCTGGGATTCAGCTGGTACCTGAGAAGCAGCGAGGGCCGCGTCTTCCAGTAAGTGTGCCGCCGGGCTGGAACTGAGGTTCCCAACTCTTGCCCATGCAGAGTAGGCTTTCACAAAGAGGAACTGCAGCCATCTCCCTCTCCGCACTACCCGCTCTCTTTCTTCCCTTAATATCTATATTCTTTCAGTGGGTTTTGGGGTGAGGTTGCAAATGGACTCTTGGATCCTGACATCACTTCCACAGCATTGGCAGGCTAGGCATCCTACTTGGAGCGTGGCCTTCCACTTTTGGAGCCAGATATCTATTAGTTGCTRTTCACGTTTAGAAAAGAAGCCTTAGACTTGATTTAAATTATTCAATATCCCCTCCCCTTCCTCTTCGCTAGTAATTAGAGAAAATACAGAGTTGCAATTCAGGCTGTGAACCGAGTGCCCTGGGGCAAGGGCATTGTTTCTTACCTATGATTTGTTGCTCCTTCCATTTGTTATTTTTCCTACATACTCTGTCTCTTTTTAGACCTAGGCTGCCTCTGCTGCCATGTCTCAAGGAATCCTTTCTCCACCGGTGGGCTTGCTGTCTGATGAGAATGTGGTAGTCTCCCCAATGTTTGAATCCACAGCTGCAGATTTGGGATCTGTGATCCGGACAGACCTACTATCAGACTGCTCTGTCATCTCCACCTCCCTGGAGGACAAGCAGCAGGTAAAAGAATTGAATAGTGGCCTGTAGTGGTGGTGGTGGTGGTGGTGGCGGCGGCGGCGGCGGCGGCGGCGGCCGCGGCACACTCCATAATCCCAGCATCTCAGGAGGCCGAGTCAGGAGGATCACCAGTTCAAAGGAATCCTAAGCAACTTAGCAAAGCCCTAAGCAACTCATTGAGACCCTGTATCTAAATAAAATACAAAAAAGGGTGGGGGATGTGGCTCAGTGGTTAAGTGCCCCTGGATTCAATCCCCAGAACCAAAAAATAAACACACATAAAGAATCGCATAGTGGCTTGGGGGCAGAAAATTATATTCTCAGCCTATAATCCTCCATACAGGATAGTTTAATGTCAACGACCAGTAATCCCTAAGGTCTGAGACATCAATTTAAACTAAGGGCAAGACAAGTAAAAAATGTAGAGTTGTATGCCCATAAGAATAACTACTATTTAGAGCGCTCGCCTGGCATGCTTGCAGCMCGGGTTCGATCCTCAGCGCCACATACAAAGATGTTGTGTCCGCCGAAAACTAAAAAATAAATATTAAAATTCTCTCTCTCTCTTAAAAAAAAAAAGAATAACTACTATTTGCATTGCATTAATGAAATAAAGTGCATAACTCTTAGGTAATCTCTGAGACAAGGATAAATGCATCTGTCCATTTTGAGACCTAGTTATGTTAAATGATTTGTACAGGCTGGAGAGGGTAGCTCAGTAAGTGGAACCCGTGCTTAACATGTAAGACCCTGGATTCAAACCCCACTCCCCCACCCACTCTCCCCCACAATTATTTGCACATGGTGACATTACATAAGTAGAATGTACATTCAGGTTTTAATAATATCAACAATTGCTTCCATTTTTTTAGCTTTCTTGCTGCAAAGCTGGGGTTTTTCAGCTACAGCATTTCTGACATTTGGAGGCTGGATTCTTTATTGTAAGGAGCTGTCCTGTGCATTGTAAATGTTGAGCATCATTCCTGGCCTCTGCCCACTAGATGTCAGTAATGCCTTCCCACTTTAACAACCTAGTGTTCTTTGAGGGGAAATAATGGCCCTGGTTAAAAACTGTTGTGCTAGGCCTTATGCTAAATGTTAACATATGTTATCACACTGTTCCCCCCCCTTAGGAACTAACAAAGTTTTTATGAAAGCATAATCCTTGATAACATCCCTCATTAGGAACTACTGGAGCCTTTAACATCCCTCATTAGGAGCTATTGGAGCCTTGTAGAGTTCCTGGGCCATAGTAGGCATTCTCTATTTGTTGAATGAGTGATGTTGGTGCTATTATTAACCTCACTATGCAGATGAGGAAACTGAGGCAAAGAGAATATAAAGAACTTGTTCAAGAGCTCATAATTGGGGCTGGGGATGTGGCTCAAGCGGTAGCGCGCTCTCCCGGCATGCGTGCGGCCCGGGTTCGATCCTCAGCACCACATACCAACGAAGATGTTGTGTCTGCTGAGAACTAAAAAATAAATATTAAAAAAAATTCTCTCTCTCCTCTCTCACTCTCTCTTTAAAAAAAAAAAAAAAAGAGCTCATAATTATTAAATAATGGACTTGGTACTCAAATTYAGGTGTGTCTATGTCCAAGGTACTCTAACTACTATACTCTGCTATTGTATCACATGCTGATTTTCATACCACTCAACCAATTCTAACTCAGATAATTGGTGTGACAAGCCAGGTTTGCAGGGTACTGATGAGAGAGAGAGGGTGACAAAGGAGTAAAAAAGGTCATGTGGATTAGAATGATTGTAGAAYCAAAGAGTAGTTGCACAGAGACGTTTGAGATGGAATGGGCTTGTGTTAACCTGATTCCTAGGAACTGTGCTATTTGCCCATTTGTTCAGAGGTAACTTCTGAGATTAATATGTGATTCTGGGCTGGAATTCTACCACAGGTTCCATGTGAAGACAGTACAGAGAAGGTGAAAGTATACCTGAGGGTCAGGCCCTTGTTACCTTCCGAGTTGGAACGACAGGAGGATCAGGTGAGTGTTTGAGGAGGAGGCTTTAAAGTGGAATGATACAGTAAAGAAGAGATTCTCCAGCAACATTTCCTTCTATAAAAACTGTATTGCCCCCTTCTCAGGGCTGTGTTCGAATTGAGAATATGGAGACCCTTGTTCTGCAAGCACCCAAGGACTCCTTTGCCTTGAAAAGCAACGAGCGGGGAATTGGCCAAGCTACCCACAAGTTCACCTTTTCCCAGGTATGGATATACTAGTCTTTAACCAAGGAATCAGCATGCAGGGATTTTAATCAGTGGGAGAAACAGGACTAGGATTTAGGTCTATCCATCTCCAAAGCCCTTGCTTGTGACCATTATATTACCCCATAGTGTGTGCAAATCAGGCTTGGTGCATAGCATTCTTTAAGTATTTCTTGATTTGGATGAAAGATGGACTAATAGAAAGTAGTTGAGTCCTCAGTGATTAGGAATAGTTGACAGCAAGGCAGAAAGAACCTTCTGTAATGGGTTCCAGAGCCAGCCACCCAGGAAGGGTGGCTTGCATAGAATGCTGGCTCTGCATAGAATGCAAATGAGAGATGAAGAATGGACCTCTGAGTTACTGGGTCTGTCTCCAGATCTTTGGGCCAGAAGTGGGACAGTCATCCTTCTTCAACCTGACCGTGAAGGAGATGGTAAAGGATGTACTCAAAGGGCAGAACTGGCTTATCTATACATATGGAGTCACCAACTCAGGGAAAACTCACACGATTCAAGGTGAGTAGTAAGGCTTCACAGTATTGCTGATTGGCCTTTGATGGTGGATTGACCTGTAATTACTTTTTGGTGCTCTGAATCAGAGGGAGAAAGACTTGCCTCAGCTGTCCATCATTCATATGCCTCTAGGTACCATCAAAGATGGAGGGATCCTGCCTCGGTCATTGGCTCTGATATTCAATAGCCTCCAAGGCCAACTTCATTCAACACCTGACCTGAAGCCCTCGCTCTCCAATGAGGTAATCTGGCTAGATAGTAGGCAGATTCGACAGGAAGAAATGAAGAAGATGTCCCTGCTCAGTGGAGGCTTTCAAGAGGTGAAGTGTTGGTATACATGAGGCAGGGGTAGGGGATACAAATCTCAGGAAAGCTTTGTGTTTACCTCCTCCCTATGTCCCTTGTCCCTTCAGGAGGAACTATCTACCTCTTTGAAGAGGAGTGTCTACATTGAAAGTCGGATGGGCACCACTACCAGCTTTGACAGTGGCATCGCTGGGCTCTCTTCTACCAGTCAATTTATCAGCAGTAGCCAGCTGGATGGTACGTATCATGAATGTGCTCTTTGCCAAGTAATAAGAAGAACCTACTCCCTCCTCCTAGCAGCTACCAGGGGAGCAGACCCAAGGTTACAACTTGAGCTCCACCTTCCAATGGCCCCTGCAGTCCAGAGGTTAGATGAATTGCCCAAGGATTGATAGTCTATACATTGGCTTTCTCCCCAGAAACAAGTCACCAATGGGCACAGCCAGACACTGCCCCAGTAAGCATACCAGCAGACATTCGCTTCTCCATCTGGATCTCCTTCTTTGAGATCTACAATGAGCTGCTTTATGACCTGTTAGAACCACCTAGCCAGCAGCGGAAGAGGCAGACTCTGCGGCTATGCGAGGATCAAAATGGCAATCCCTATGTGAAAGGTATGTGAATGTGGAGAAAAGCCAGGCAGAAACCCTGGAGGGGGTTGGATATTACCATCTTACACCTTTCTCTCCTCTGGCCCCAGATCTTAACTGGATTCATGTTCAAGATGCTGAGGAAGCCTGGAGACTCCTAAAAGTGGGTCGTAAGAACCAGAGCTTTGCCAGCACACACCTGAACCAGAACTCTAGCCGTAGGTGAGTGAATTTTGAGAATAAACCCTTGACTATATCTAGGAAACATTAGTCTTCCACCTGGTCAGGAAATATATTCAATGATTTTCCTCTTTTTCTTAACTTTCAGTCATAGCATCTTCTCAATCCGGATCTTGCATCTTCAGGGAGAAGGGGATATAATTCCCAAGATCAGCGAGTAAGTTTTTCCACTTAGAAATTTGATCTTGCCAGATGTGGGTGCACACCTCTTATCACAGCTACTCAGGAAGCTGAGGMAGGAGCATCACAAGYTGAAAGGCAGTCTAGGCCACTTGGAAAGGGGATGTAGCTCAGTGATGGAGCACTTGCCTAGCATGCATGAGGCTCTGGGTTCAATCCCATTATTAAGAAAAGAAGAAAAGAAAGTTTGATTTTCTTGATCATTTAGTCATTGTGGGAGCAGGGGGAGGTCCTCAGAATTATTTGTTCTTACTTGGGTACAGAGATTCTTGGTGGGCCCTCTCTTCTCCAAAACAATATGATGGGCCGTAAGCTTACATTATATGAGGTCCTTATGCCTGATCCTGTGCATCATTTTAGGCTTTCACTCTGTGATCTGGCTGGTTCAGAGCGCTGCAAAGATCAAAAGAGTGGTGAAAGGCTAAAGGAAGCAGGAAACATTAACACTTCTCTGCACACCTTGGGCCGCTGTATTGCTGCTCTGCGCCAAAACCAACAGAACCGGTGAGCTTTTGACTGTAAACTTGGGCTGGGATGGCCTAGGACTCAGCTATTTACCAAGACTTCCTGGTCACGACTAGGGATAGCCTTAGGATACCTAAGGATTAGAATTCTTATTCACAGATTTATTACCTCTGGTTCTTTGCWAGGTCAAAGCAGAACCTGGTTCCTTTCCGTGATAGCAAATTGACCCGAGTGTTCCAAGGCTTCTTCACAGGCCGAGGCCGATCTTGCATGATTGTCAATGTGAATCCTTGTGCTTCTACCTAYGATGAGACTCTTCACGTGGCCAAGTTTTCAGCCATTGCCAGCCAGGTGAGAAGCTGTAGGTGTACTGATTGTGCCTACCTTGGGCTGCTAACTTTATAGAAATTTACCAGTGAACAATTAAGGAGTTTATAATTAAGGTTTTTTTCCCCACCTTTAGCTTGTGCATGCCCCACCTGTGCAACTAGGACTCCCATCACTGCATTCATTCATCAAGGAACAGAGTCTTCAGGCATCCCCTGGTTTAGAGAAAGGGAATAAGGTAGACCCAAGCCTTGACAACCACGCTGAAAATGAAGTTGACATCTCCATGTACAGCAAGGAGGTGAGAATACAAAAAAGCTTTGGTGCAGCAGCTTAATGGCTATACATTTTCCACGTAGTCTTGGGCCTTTTGGGGTTATGGGCATACATCTGACAAGTATGTTCCTTTTAGGAGCTCCTACAGGTGGTGGAAGCCTTGAAAACTCTGCTTTTGAAAGAACGACAGGAAAAGTTGCACCTGGAGATGCAACTCCGTGATGAAATTTGCAATGAGATGGTAGAACAAATGCAACAACGGGAACAGTGGTGCAGGTACTGGCATAGTGACCCCTCTTACTGTCAAGTGGGACAGGGAATGGATCATCCTCCAAGTGTACTCCTCAAAATCTTCACTCATGGGCTGGGGTTGTGGCTCAGTAGTAGAGTGCTTACCTTGCACACATGAGGCACTGGGTTCGATCCTCAGCACCACATGAAAATAAAGATATTTAAAAAAAAAAAAATCTTCACTCACTTCTTTTTTCTCCTCTGACAGTGAGCATTTGGACACCCAAAAGGAACTAATGGAGGAAATGTATGAAGAGAAACTAAAGATTCTCAAGGAGTCACTCACAAGTTTTTACCACGAAGAAATTCAGGTAAGTTACCCTGAACCAGCCCCAATTAGCTACTCAGATTTCTGTCACTAATTTGCCTGAGGTTAACAGACTTTATAAACTCTGGTAAGAGCAAGCATTTATAATATATAGAACTCCTTTTCTGTATTCCCTTTAGGTGCTTTGTACATGTTTAATGTATGTTTAGTGAATTAAGGGGTTTAGTTGGGCAAGAATTAATAGAAGTGCTAGCAAATAGGTTTTTGAAGTATTGGGAAAGGTTTTGTTCATTGTTTGTCATCTGTTTCTGCAAGTATTTGTCTGACCCTTAACAGAATTGTGCTCTCTACTTCACTCTTAGGAACGGGATGAAAAAATTGAAGAACTAGAAGCTCTCTTGCAGGAAACCAGACAGCAATCTGAGGCCCATCAACAGTCAGGGTCTAACTTATCCATGCGGCGGTCAAATAGGTTGGCAGCTTCTGCCTCCACTCAGCAGCTCCAGGAGGTTAATGCTGAACTACAACAGTGCAAAGCAGAGCTAAACTCTACCAGTAAAGGTGAGGAAGGAGAGAAGACAGGAAGCATTAGTGATTCAGGGAAAATGTGGTATTCAAAACTGGGCTTTCTGATTCTAATTTCAACATAATTTCCTCAACTCCAAGCTGCAGAAAAGGTCCCCCTGACCTTTCACTCTAGGCTCTATGTGGCCTCACCTTTTATATTTACTGTAAGCTACTGTTAACTACATTAAAAAGAGGTAGGTCTAAAACTAGAAAATCTATGTGTTCAAGTTTCCTTGTTCTTTCCCTCAGAGCTGCAGAAGTATCAGAGAATGTTAGAACCACCACCCTCAGCAAAGCCCTTTACCAGTGACGTGGACAAGAAGTTAGAGGAGGGCCAGAAGGTAACCTTTCTGTTACAAAAGCTGTTACCTAAGGCARTTTCTGATTCATGAGGACAAGTGGTTCTTTTGTGCAGGGTTCTGGGGAATGGCTTTTTCATTCAGCTGACCAGACTTTCTAATTTTACTTCTCTTCAAATGGTGACCCAACCCCTCCACATCATTACCTGGTTGATCTTGGTACAATCTGATCCTACTCCTTTTTTTAGAATATAAGACTACTGCGGTCAGAGCTTCAGAAACTTGGTGAGTCTCTCCAATCAGCAGAAAGGGCCTGTTGCCACAGCACTGGGGCAGGAAAACTTCGTCAAGCTTTGACCACTTGTGATGACATCTTAATCAAACAGGTTAGAGCAGCCTAAATACCCCCGTTTCTCTTACTAGCCCATTCCAGTATATATGTGAAAAAGGGTATCAGGAACATAAGAGAAAAAGATTTTTAGGATAAACTTAGAGTAAGGAGGAATTTCTCTTCCTTGCTAAATAAGAAATGATTCTTTGTGAAGCATTTACTAAGTACTAGTAGGTACTGTGGTAATGTATGTGCACCTTGTCATAACAACCATAGGGAGGCATATATACGGTCATATTCCATCTAAGATGCCACTGGTATCATGTTATCTATTATTTTTTTTAATATTTATTTTTTTAGTTTTAGGTGGACACAATATCTTTATTTTTATGTGGTGTTGAGGATTGAACCCAGCGCCCTGYGCATGCCAGGCGAGTGCTCTACCGCTTGAGCCACATCCCCAGCCTATCATGTTACATATTATTAAGGAAAAAACTAACAATAACAAACTGATTTTATGAGGCTGGGGATGGAACCAGGGCTTATCATTTGATAAGCATTCGTTCGACCACTGACATAACCCCAGCCCAAGCTATGACATTTCTTATCCATAAAATACATTCTAATCCCAGAGATCTTAAAATGTTTAAGAAAAATGTACATCTTAGACTAAGCATACCTTTTTCTTTTTTCAGTGGTAGTAAGGGATTGAATATGGGGCATCACACTTGCTAGGCAAATTTATTTTTGTTACCAGGGATTGAACCCAAGGACACTCAATCTAAAACTTATTTAGAGACAGGGTCTCATACTGAGTTTCTTAGGACCTTGCTAAGTTGCCGAACCTGGCTTTGAACTGGTGATTCTCCTATGTCAGCCTCCCAGCTGCTGGGATTATAGACGTGTGCTCTTTTTATTATTTTTGAGACAGGGACCTACAAGTTGCCCAGGCTACCTTTGAACTTTTGATCCTCTTAAGTTTCCTGAATAGTGGGATTACAGGTGTTATGCACAAAATTTTGTGTCTAGGGACTGAGGCTCTTAGAAGTTAAATAAACTTGTTTAAGCTCATGCCAATTTGTGTTAAAAAATGTCCTGTTCAGAACTGCTTGTGCTTGGGTCTTAAAATTATATATCCTCTATTCAGTTATGACCTCTAACCTTACAGAGTTTATCTTTGAAAAAATAGTTACTAGTTACTAATAATGGATAGCATGTATTACCTTGCCACCTTGTTTTTCTAAATATACCATACAAAGATACATTTTTTCTAACTTCACTGATATTCCCTAGGACCAGACACTAGCTGAACTGCAGAACAACATGATGCTAGTGAAACTGGACCTTCAGAAGAAGGCAACATGCATTGCTGAGCAGTATCATACTGTGCAAAAGCTTCAAGGCCAGGCTGCTTCTGCCAAAAAGCGCCTTGGTACCAACCAGGAAAACCARCAACCAAACCAGCAACCTCCAGGGAAGAAACCATTCCTTCGAAACTTACTTCCCCGGACACCTACCTGCCAAAGCTCAACAGACTGTAGCCCTTATGCCCGGATCTTGCGCTCAAGGCGCTCTCCTTTACTCAAATCTGGGCCTTTTGGCAAAAAATACTAAGACTGGGGAGGAAGAACACAGTCATCTCCCTATGTGGATCAGCTGCTCAGCTTAATAAACAGACTGTTTTCAGCTTTACCATATACCTGGAACTGTATGCAGCATACAATACTCATATACTAGTTCCCCACACCTTTTGTATTATAATCACTTTTGTAATCTCGTGTTTTTTCACTCATATGGTTTCTATGCACACAAAAAAAGTTATATTAAATAAAGATTATTGTTCACATTTTTATTCAAATATCAAATTTAGCAAAATCATTAAAACAAATTATTAAAAGGGCAGAAAACCTGGTACTCAATGTCATTCTGGCCCCTAAGAACTTTTGCATAGAAATGGCAATAAAGACCAGGAACTAGCATATACCAAGTCTAAGGTTTAGAAATAATGAATTCAAGTGATATTAGATAGTCTACATGTTTAAATATAAAATGAAGTATCATACATTAGGAGGTGAAGAGGTAATAAAAATGTTCTGGGAACAAGAGAAGGAAAACTAGATCCTGAGCCCAGAATGGTTCATAGCATCTACAAGTTCATTATAGCTGACATCACAGTCAAAGCATATTACCTGCTAGTGAACATGTGCACAGATCTGAAATCCTCCAAGAGCACCACAAAAATGATTCCCTTTACCTATCTAGACAGATAAGGCTGACAAAATGTATTCTTTTGGAGATAGGAAGGAAAAAAACAATTATATCAAAAATTTATTAAAACCAGCATGAATTAAGTTTATTCTCAATATAGTCAAAAATGTTATATTCAAAAGTCCATGAATTATCTGTAATTCTTGCTTTGCTTTGGTAGAGGTATAGCTAGTGCTATAGCCATCTTTGCCCTTAGGAAGGGTCATCAATAGTTCAGGTGGAGCTTTTTTTGCCCTTCAATCCTAGTAAGTTACTTMCAGATTCCTTTTCAAAATGTCTTGAAGAATGTCTCCTAGGTTAAGAACAAATGTATAGCTCCACTTTGTTTAAACCTAATCTCTAATATCGAAATAGGGATCATAACTCAGCAAATTCAAGGAGTCATTTCTGTCTAGTGTCCTGACTCCTTCCTAGGGTAGTTAGTGCCCTTACTGCCAGAAAAGGGTAGTGGCAGACTTCTCCCTTTCTTGCCTGTCCCACTCCCAGCAGCATTAAAACCTTGTTCCTGTAGCATTGCCTGTGCTAAAGTGCTGTAAAAGGTATGTTTTAATGGGGGTGGAGAGAAAGGGCACTGAAAAGAAGGCCAAGATTGACAGCCACTCTGAATAGAAGGGAGATAGAAGTGCTTCTAACTGGCAAAAGAATCTGTTTCTGCCAGTATTCTTCTATCTGCCTCTGAAGGTAATTATATAAACTGTCCCCAAGGAGCTATTTCCATCTGTAGAAACAAAAAGAGCTGCAGTCCTTGGAAGGACAGACATGGCCATTCTTTACATGAAGGTAAGGCTTAATATGGGTCTAGCAAAGTGCTAACTTGAAAGTAGCCAACTATGGTGTGACMGAAGACAAGTTGAGTGGAGAAACTCTGCGTGTGGGGGTGTTATTAGCAGACAATGAAGCAGGGAGAAAAAAGGGAGCAGGCATCTCGCCCGTGGGAGTTTCCCCTTGGTTCCGCAGCTGCAAGATTTGCCGGAGCAAGGCTTTACCTTCTTCCCGGGTCTGAAAGAAAGGCAACTGTTTCAAAATATATTCAAGGCTATTCTCAAAAACAGGTTATTAAGACAACGATGATATACAAGTTCCACAGATCAAAGAAGGCTTTCCACTGATATTCATACCCACTTTTCACCTATACATCATGGTAATGATCATACATTCTAGCCTCAAATCCAAACCCTTTACGAAAGAACTGATACGTACATCATTGAATGCACAACACTTTTGGGCACAAGTTGAAGCTTCATCCCACAGCTTGCACTTAAAATAGTATTGGGCCAGATATCGGAAAGCAGTGCTTTCCTCCAAGTGTTCCACTATTTCCTAGACGAGGAAAGCAGAAATGTCTGAGATGGTAAGAATAAGATTGGTAACACAACTCTCATGTTATGACACATACCCCACAGGAATAGATATCTTGGATATATTTGATATAACACTGGGCAGCCTGTTCGGACTCAGTCAACTGTTCATGAAGCCTACAAAAGAAAATTGATTTTAAATACAAATCAGACCTCAAAGCAAATGAGTGACAAAAAAATAATTAAGTTCTAAAAAATGATAATAACAAGCACAAATTTTGACATAAATGACACAAGACCCTGAAAAAGTCTTAGTACCCACAAGATGTTACGGTTACTGTAATAAAGTTTAGATTCAGGGGCTGAGAGTATAGCTCAGTGGTAGAACACTTGCCTAGCATGCATTAAGCCCTGAGTTTGATCCCTAGCACAAGGGAAAAAAAAAAAAAAGGCTGAGGATTGGGGGTGGGCAGTGGGACGTCTATTATCCCAGCTACCTGGAAAGCTGAGACAGATGGATCTCAAGTTCAAGGCCAGGCTAGATAACACTGTCTTAAAATAAAAAAAGGTGTGTACATAGCTCAGTGGTAGGATGCTTACCTAGYAAGTGTGATGCCCTGGGTTTGATACTCCGCATGGCAAAAACCATTACTTTACCACTACCAACAGAGGGAGAGTTACGAATAAATATTTAAACTGGGTATACATAAAAATTCCCTGGTAATACTGAAAATGAGACTGAAAAATAAAACAAGCAATTCAGATTTAAGAATCTATAAATAAACTGGGAGAAACTAAATTGCATTTAAATACCTCTTTTCCAACTATTTTGAGCTATTACTAATTTTTTCTTTGAGGGAGATCGATCCTTAACGTAGTTTTCCTAGACTGCTCTAACACAAAAATGTCATTTCTCTCTCTTTTCTTTGCAATTTAAAAAAAAAAAAAACCTGGGGCTGGGGATGTGGCTCAAGCGGTAGCACGCGTGCCTGGCATGCGTGCGGCCCGGGTTCGATCCTCCAGCACCACATACAAACAAAGATGTTGTGTCCGCCAATAACTAATAAATAAATAAATATTTTTTAAAAAAACCTTTATATTAATTTTTTTATGTGATGCTGAGGATTGAACCAGTGCCTCACACTACAACCCAAGCCCTCTCTCTTTTTTAAAAAAATATTTATTTATTTTTTTAGTTTTAGGTGCACATGATATCTTTATTTTATTTTATGTGCTAAGAAATGAACCCAGTGCCTCACGCATGCTAGGCGAGCGAGCTACCACTTGAGCCACATCTCCAGCCCTCTCTCTCTTTTTTAAATGCAGTGCTAGGGATCATATGTGCCATTTAAGCACTCTACTACTGAGCTATATACCCCACCCATTCATTTACTTTTTTCAATTCATCTTGATCCCTTGCTTCAAAGAGGAATGACATTTTCGAGATTCAAATTCCCACACTCATGTATGACAATGGAAGGGCGGGAGGCTTTAAAATATGCAAGACCCACCATCCTAGAAAAGCCAATAGAGGGGCTGGGATTGTGGCCTAGCGGTAGAGTGCTATGCAAGGCCCTGGGTTCGATTCTCAGCACCACATAAAAATAAACAAACAAAATAAAGGTATTATGTCCAACTACAATTAAAAAATAAATATTAAAAAAAGGACAACAGAAATATCAATAGTATTTCTCTCCTTTCACTCACTTTGCCAGTTTCACCAGAGCCATTTTCTCCACATCTCCCACAGCATAAGCTCTCCAATAACACTGTCAAAAAAAATTAAACCAGTTGCTTTGACCATTGTCCCATGTGCCATCATTAATCACATAAAGGGAAAGGTCCTACAAGCTTCCTAGGAGTTCAGATTTGCAAAATACAAGACATTTTTGCCATTTCTAATAGGTTCAGGCTATAAACAGCATTCCCACTAATGATCTCAGCACACCTTTTTTTAAGCCTATGCACCTGTAAATATTCACACTTTTCCTTACACATAGATCAATATAAAGGAAAATTAGAGCACATATAGCCCAATCTGTATCTAAACAGCAGATTTCCACTCAAGTTCTCCAGACCTCAATTTCAGGTACCTTTTTGGCTTCCACTAGTTGATTGAGTTTCTCATAACATTCTCCTAATGCAACCAGCATACGAGAATCATTGGGCCTAAGAAAGAAGAGGAATAGGTAGTTTGTGCAAAGACTTTATTGATAACTGAAGTCTTCCATTGAGGAACTAGCACCACTATTTCAAATCTATGCAAGGTTTGACCTTTATTCTAATACTTCATATAATTAAGTTACTTTGTGTTCATAATTGTACTATTAACCCATTAGTGGAAGACATTAAATAAAAATGACCAAACAGCTTTAGCAAGCTTAAATTCAGGTCTCCAAAAGCCGGAACCATTCTCTGTGATTCATGAATAGCTACTGAAACAGCCCTTCCCACACCAGATACATTGTAAAGTGACCAGACTTACCGAAGCTGGTGGGCCCGTCTGTAGTAATATAGGCAGTAAAATGGCATCTTAAGGATTTCATAGGTCTGCCCAAGGCCATACCAAGCTCTGTAGTCCCTCTTGTTGACCTCAATGGCATGTCTAAGAAACGAAAATGAAAGAATGTTAAGAAAGCATAATCAAGACTAGAAACTTACAGGCTCAACTGAGGCTTCTATCAACACAGCAATCCTCAACCCCCAACTAGATGCTCACCGATAAGCCTGGATAGCAGCAGATGTATTTTTCATTTCCATGTACTCATGCCCCATCAGTGTCCAGGCCCCAAGATACCGAGGATTCAATTTTAGGGCTCTCTGGAAATATAAGGCCGCTTTCTCATGCTGAGAACGTAAACTATAATAATTGCCTGATTTTAAAAAATAAAAAATATTTTATATATATAAAAAGGTAGAAGGGTAAAAATAAGTCTTCTAAAATAACATTCTACCAGGTAAGCATGAAACTTTGCAGAAAAGCCAAATTTTAAACAAGGGGAATATAATCATTCCCTTAGCAAATATAGTTAATCTATCACAAATTCTGGTTAACACACACACACACACACACACACACACACACACACACAAACAAATGTGTTCCCAGCTGGGTGTGATGGCATGCACCTATAATCCCAACACCTCAGAAGGGTAAGACAGGAGGATCTCAAGTTCAAGCCCAGCCTAGGCAATTTAACAAGACCCTGTCTCAAAATAAAAATTAAAGGGCTGAAGATATAGCTCATAGGTAGAGCACCACTAGGCTGAATCCCCTGTAGTATAAAAAATAAAATTGTTCCCAAACACTGCAAGTTTTTCTTCATTAATCTCATCTGGAAATAGCATTTATATACTCATTTTCTTAATATAGTATATGAAATTTCAATAGTATACTTTAGCTTGGTGGTTTTCAAACTATATCCCTTCAAGCCTAAGTTTATAAGGAAGTATCCCTAAGGGTTAAAAAAAAATAGAGCTCAGAGTTTTCCCTCCTCAAGAATCAAGGCAGTTCTAATCACTTGTTCCAAAAAGAGCAAGCAAAAGACTTTAGTATTCTGGGAAAGATTTTATTTTAAGAACCTAAAAGCCATTCATCTTACATCAGTGGCAAATAGATAAACAACAGTGGTATATACAAACAATGGAATATTACTCAGGAATAAAAAGAACTACTGATATCTGCAACAACATCGATAAACTTCAAAAACATGCTAATTGAGAGAAGTCAGACAATAAGACTACTGCAAAATTTCATTTATATCAAATTCCTAGAATAGGCAAAACTACAAACCTGGAAAATAGAAATGGTTGCCAGGAGATGGGAATGGGACCAACTACAGACAAGATAACTTTTGGAGATGATGGAATATTATAAACTGGATTATGATGATGATGATTCCAAACTGTAAATTTATAACTCATTTAACTGTAAACTTAAAATAGGTAAATTTTATGCTATGTAAATTATACCTCAATAAAGCTATTTTTTTTATATCTTTTAGTTGTAGTTGGACACAATATTTTATTTATTTATTTTTATGTGGTGCTGAGGATCAAATCCAGGGCCCCACACATGCTAGGCGAGTGCCCTACCACTGAGCCACAACCCCAGCCCAATAAAGCTATTTTTTTTAAGAGAGAGAGAGAGAGAATTTTTTAATATTTATTTTTTAGTTTTCGGTGGACACAACATCTTTTATTTTTTATTTTTATGTGGTGCTAAGGATCAAACCCAGCGCCCTGCACATGTCACACGAGCGCGCTACCACTTGAGCCACATCCCCAGCCCCAATAAAGCTATTTTTTTAAAGGAATAAATTAGAGCTATACCA